CGTCCTTTCTACGCCGTTATTATCATCGGTGTTACCCCACCATTTTAAGTGAGGCTGTTCCTTCACCCTGATTCGAGTTTTCCCGAATGAGGCGTGTTATAGCGGTTTTGTCTTTCCAACTGCACACCCAAGAAGGATAGGAGAAAGTACAGGGTTGAGCGGTGTTCATTGACCGAAGCACGGTATTCTTCTTATCTTCTCATCTACTGTACACTTTAAAATATGGAACTATTAAACTCTTTGCTGTTTTCTCTGATCTTCATATCGTGGGAGAGGCGTTCGATCTCGATCGTTGATCTAGTGATGTCTGCAGTCAACGGTGGAACGCCACCTCACGTTCAGATAATCTTGACATGTTTTTCATATTTTCCTCGCTTTTTTGTCTCGTTTTCTCTTTCTCTTTATGGTTTGTGCAGCAGTGGATTCAAATGGGTGCTATACAAGTAGGGTGGGCACGCCGCATTTTTTGAACAGAAATGTATGTAAGTGGGACTGCTGCCCGCTACTATACTGTCACGAGAATCGGGGAATTCGTGAGCCAGGGGAGTGTAGCCAATCTAGGGGGTGGGGGTGAGGGCAGTCACTTGACATGCGTGAAAAGCTGGGCGTGCCCACCCCACTTGTATAGAGCCTAAATGATTTGGGATAATTTCTGAGGGCGTAGGCATACTCTTCGCGTAGGTGTAGGGAATTGCCTTGGCGTTCGGCCAGTATTGATACTTACTCACTCCCTTTTTGTCGGTCTCCCATTCTAAGACTCTCATACTCGTCTGTGAGCTCATTCGCTCATCAATAAGTATTCTTTTTATTTTGATTATAGTATTTTGATTCTAGGGTTATTTGGTTAGACTAGGGGCGAGCATGAGAACATTAGTGTTTCAAATAAATAAAAGTACTCTGAATCATTAATTAATTCCAAAGCATACAGTTGCTGATTCTGTTAAGTCAAATGTCTTTCGCTAAATTGCAATAATAGCATATAGTTAGCGTTCATTCCTCGTTCCGAGAGATAATCGTACTTCTTTGGTGTCACGTATTTCACCAAGTCTGCGCTTCTGCTCCTATCAAAGTAGTCACTTATCTACAATTGAACAAATAATACACATATTTTGAATCCGGAATTTATGTCACATTTTAAGAGTCGCCTGTGCCCGTCAGAATTGGCCTTGGCTGCCCAACACGAACTCGTTGGTGACGGACCAAAAGCGCTCTTTCCTCACTGTTCGGCTCTTTCACCGTCTTCAAATAACTGCATTGGTGTCCTCGATTCGCCGAACCCAGTGGTAAGTTCTCGTTTATGACTCGACTCTTAGTCATCATGAGAGCTAAATCGCCGTGAATTTTGCAGATGCCTATCGAGTCAGAGATTCCACGCGGTCATCTGACGCATTTCTGTTATGTGGACAGTGGGAAACACTACGAGGGCTCCGCATCGACAACAATAACAGGGAAGACGTGCATGAACTGGAATGACGCCCCTTCAAGGTACTTCGTACATATTTTTTAACGCTGGTTCCCTTCCGTAAAGTAGGTTGAAGGGGCTTGTCGAGGAACCTAGATAGTGGAGAAATGCTGCCCCATTCAACTTTTTTTCAATTTTTCCTCAGGTTTCTTACTTCAGTTCTGATTTCAGGGAGTACAATGTTGCCAGGTATCCAGAGCTGCTCTACGCCAAAAATTACTGCCGAAATCCCGGTGGGAAGAAAACGAAGCCTTGGTGCTACTCACAACCGTTGGGTCAAGAGGAGTACTGTGATGTGAGTACTTCCCAACCTTTCTTGAATGAAACCTTCTCCGAGTTCCTAGGGAGTCATTTACGGCGCTTACCAAGATACTTTTTTTTTTTTTGCCTCCAGTTATCGCCCCGACGCTCTGAGTACTTTTCTTCAAAGTTTTTGAATCTATTCTTCTAAGAGTGGAAAGAAAAGCGTTTGAGTGGTTGAAAGCGCTCGTTCCAGATTCCTCAGTGCTCTAGAGATCTGTTCCCCCATTTGAGTGATGGCAACACCAACACAGGCAGTACTAACGTGAGTTTTCCCAGTTTCTTCTTTTCAATCCTTGATGACTGATTTACATTTTCAGGTGGGTGTGGGCGATTCACTTACCTCCATGTGGGAAAATCTTGCCCCGCACTGGCAACTGGCTGTTGTTGGAGGCGGCGTTCTGTCCCTGCTACTCCTACTGCTCCTGTTCTGTTGCATTTGTTGCTGTCGAACGCGGAAAAAGAACTGCACAAAGGGTAGAGGCACTTCTGCTGCTCATTCACTCCTGCCTGCAACCAATCCTCCCTCTGTAGTGAACAGGTAAGTCTCCTGAGAACTTTGAGCTTTGAGGTGGAAGGTGGTAATGATTGATTTTTTTCAGCGCTGCAAATTCTGCCTACTATCAGCGGAAGATGAATGGCACTTCTACCCCAATTATGTCCCGTGGTGGAGTTGGCAGTGGTCCGATGGAAATGGCTTCACTACTTCCATCGCATGCCGTTCCACCACCCTATGGAGAGCCTTTTCACGTGCCTCACGATCCACACGCCGATGAACCCTACCACATATTGGAAATTCCAGCAAACCAGGTTGGAGGTCTCTATGAGACTTTGAATAGGCTGCCGATAATTTCAAATGTTGCAGATTAAAGTAGGCGATCTTCTTGGAGAGGGCCAGTTTGGAGTGGTCTACAAAGGCTTTTGGACTGGTGGACTCATCAACGGCGATCCCCTTCAGGTGAACATATTTTTGTGGTTTGGAATCTATGT